AGTTGACACACTACATTGTATATTTCTCGTTGTATTTATTGTCTTCCATACCAGTTCCGTTTTTGGATCACCTGTATTCTATTTTTTCCTGTTTTTGGATGCTATATTGGTTATTTCAGCTATTGCTGCTTTCAGTCCTGGGTGCCTCGAGCACTTGATGAAAATGAAGTGGTGTGATCTCTTCATACTTGGCTTGATGCAGTGCTCCAATCAATTTTGTCTTTCAAATATGCTGGCTGCAATGAGCACTCATTTGAGCGCTTGCTCACGAATCGGTATGTTTTTCACTAGTAGGTATAGGTACGAGCTGGAGGCAGGGATAAAAGGGCTAGGAAGGGAGGATCCCTCGTTTTTTCATTCCGGTAGAGGCTCGGGAACTGCCTCTGCAGAAAAAATGCGGGACGAAGAATCAGAAGTGTGACGTATTGGCGGATGGTGTGGCAAGTTAGGCGAAAATACGAAAAAGTGGGCTAACTTCTCAAAATTTTGCCTAAATTCGACTGCTTTGCTTAAGAAGTCAACATAAATTTTTGTTTTAGGAAGCGAGGGGCTGGGTCCAGAAATTAAAAATTTTTATTTGGTGCACTAGAAATTGCTTCATTCGAGTGAATAGAGTAAAATTAGTGAAGCAAAGTTGTTTCGTAAGGAGCGAGGTCGGGTGGGGATCGCGAGGTGAGGAGAGAACAAAAAAGAAGAGGGCGAGAAATTATTTTGTGCAGACAGCCCAAAATCGTAAGGGATGCTCAGTAGCAACACTGCCATCGATCTAGTTGTATTAGCAGTGCCTGTAGTACCCTCCAAGACTTCTGTCGTCGTGGTTATTGTAGTTAGTTGTTGTTTTTGTTGCAGTCGCTGCAGCTGTTGTTATGGCTGTAGTAGTTGTATGCTGACGACAGGCTGAAGAAAAGTGATGGTGGAAAGTACTTTTGAATTACCGTAAGAAACCAGTCGCGGTTTTTTTATACCTTCCTCTGTTGGTGGATCTAAGGTAGCTGCATGCTTTTACTT